GTAGACTGATTGATTCCAAAAGGTCACCATATTGATGCCAAACTTAGTGTGGGTGCCTGATTAGGGGAGTGCACTAGAGCCCCAGGCTCCAGAGCTCAAGAAACCCTTCTGCCTCTGGAATAGCTGGGATCATGGGCCTGTGCCTCCACACCTGGTCTGCTTTAACATTTTCAAACAATGACGATGAGCCAGACATCGTTGCTCATGCCTGTAATCTCAGTACTTTGGAGGCTAAGGCCAATTGTGAGTTCAAGGCCAGCCTTGACTACGTAATGAGTCCTTGTGTCAATAAACAAAGAAAAACACCACAACAAAACAAACAAACAAAACCAAAACAAACAAAAAAATCAGAACAAATACCTCCAAGAATTGTGGTGGAATTTGTATAACATAAAATCTTAAGCATGGTGGTTCACACTTGTAGTCTAAGCTACTTGGGAGGCTGGGGCAGCAGGATTGCCTGACTCCACTAGTTCAGGGACAGTCTGTTAAATAGATTAAGACTATATATGTACATATACAGACACAGACACATCTATCTATCTATCTATCTATCTATCTATCTATCTATCTATCTATCTATCATCCTATCTATCATCTATCTATCAATCAATCATCTATCTATCTATCTATCTATAATTATATATGTGGACTGGGCATGTAACTCAGTGAGAGCCATACCTAGCATATGTAAGATCCTGGGTTCTAGTCCCAGAACCAGAAAAAAATGCAAATATTTTTAAAGCACATAATTCAGTGGCATTTAATATGTCACAGGGTTGTGCCAATGTCACTTATAGCTAGCTCCAAAACAATTTCATCATCCTCAAAACAGACTTTGCATTCATTAAGCATTCTCCCCTCCTGGCAATCATTAATTTGCTGTCTCTATGAACTTACCTGTTTAAGGTGTTTCCTAGGAACAGAGTCACATATGATGTGGCCTTTTGTGATTGGCTTCTCAGCAAAGTTTTTGAGGATCATCTCTGATGAGCTGTATGTCATTCCTTTTTATGGCTATATAATATTTCATTGTTTAACCTTGCCTGTTTCTCAGATATTTAGCATTTAAATTGTTTCCACCTGTTGTTTTAGTGGTATTAGTGTAGTGTTGGGGGTTAAACCTAGGACCTATGGCCTCTTGTATGCTAGGCAAGCACTCTACCGCCGAGATATTGTACCAGCCCTCTTTTCTCTCTTCCTCTGTCCTTCTATCTTCTCTCCCTCCCTCCCTTCATTCCTTCTTTCCATATTGGGCATTGAATTCAGAGCTGTGCGTACACTAATACTATTACCCCATTCCTTGCTGCATTCTTAGCTCTAGTTTTACTTTATACTAGTTTTCACTTCTATTTGTATACATATGTGTGCTGCTGTGAATCTGGATGTACAGAAATCTCTTTGAATCCCTGCTTTAAAATTTTTGGGGTATGTCCACGTAAGGGGCACTGCTGTATCCCATGGCAATTCTAGGCTCGACCTTTTGAGGACCACTAAACTCGTTCCCATCTGTGGATGCATCACCGAGGTTGCCAGTTTTTCAACATCCTGGCCCAGGCTTGTTATTTCCCCTCTCTTTATTGCAGTGACTCAGTGGTGTGAAGTGGTATCTTCTTGTGGTTTGGCCTTGCATTTCCCTAAATGATGTTGAACATCCTTTCACGAGCTTGTTGGTCATTTGTGTATCTTTAGAGAAGCGCCTACTCAAGTGCTTTGTCCATTTTTAAGCAGGGTTGTCGCTCTTCTGACTTAACGTTTGCTTAAGGAAAATCACAGGATAGTACAGGAAAGTCCGTATAATGTTTGCCTTAGGTTCATCTAACATTTTGCCTCATTTAAATTTTTTACATGTTTGTGTTTTATTTTATTTTTATCATTTTTTTTTGTGTGTGCTTGTGGAGGTCAGAGGAAACTTTTGAGAGTCAACTCTCTGCTTCTATCTTTTTTTCCCCCAGGAATGGATCGAAGGTACTCAGCCTTGGTGACACTCACCCTTAACCACTGAACCATCTTCCAGCACCTCATCTCCTGCCCTTGTTTGCTTCCTTACTTACTATAGGATCTATTCATGTTTTCCAGCACCATTGGAAAGAGAAAGTCATAGACACTGCAGTCTGTAGATACTTCAGATCAAGGACACTTGTTTACATAACTACACAATGCTCTAACCCTGAGAACATTTCACAGATAGGAAATGTCTTCCTGATCTACTTTCTTTTTTTGGGAATGTGTGTGGGTTTGAGATAGGGTTTTTCTATGGCTTTGGAAGGCGTCCTGGAACGCACTCTGTAGACCAGGCTGGTCTCAAACACACAGATATCCACCTGCCTCTGCTTCCCAAGTGCTGGGATTAAAGGTGTGTGCCACCATTGCCCCGATCTACTTTCTGTACTCTAATTTTATCTATCATCCAGCACTGTACATCTCCTCTTCTATACAAAAGCAGGTAAGGGCCCTGAGTTGCACATAATTATCAGATTTCCTTCCTTCCTTCTTTCCTTCCTTCCTTCCTTCCTTCCTTCCTTCCTTCCTTCCTTCCTTCTTTCCTCCCCTCCTCTCTCTGTATGTTTTTTTTTTTTTTTTGAGACAGGGTTTCTCTCTGTAGCTTTGGAACCTGACTGGCCTTGAACTCACAGAGATCCACCTACCTCTGCCTCCCAAGTGCTGGGATTAAAGGCACATGCACCACCACTGCCCAACTATTATTTTATCTGTCTGTGTGTCTGTGTGTGTGTATCTATCTATCTATCTATCTATCTATCTATCTATCTATCTATCAATCATCTATTTTGAGACATAGCCCCAAATATCCTGAAATTCTTTACGTAGACCAGGATGGTCTTGAACTCACAGAGATCCACCTACCTCTGCCTTCCAAGTGTTGGGTTAGATATTTTTTTTTTTTTGGTTTTTCGAGACAGGGTTTCTCTGTGGCTTTGGAGGCTGTCCTGGAACTAGCTCTTGTAGACCAGGCTGGCCTCGAACTCACAGAGATCCGCCTGCCTCTGCCTCCCGAGTGCTGGGATTAAAGGCGTGCGCCACCAACGCCCGGCAAGTGTTGGGATTAAAGGTGTGCACCACCAGCCTCAGCTGAGTTGTGTGTGTGTGTGCGCGCGCGCGCGAGCGCGCGTGAGCGTGCGCTGGAGGTTGTGCTCAGACTTGCTATGTATCTGCTCTACCACTGAGCTACATTCCAGCCACTGACACTTTAGTATAATACAATCCCTTAAAAAAAAACCAGTGTTTCTATACTGGTCATGGTGTACATACTTGCTATCCCAGCATTTGGGAAATTGGGACTGGAGAATTACTGTGAATTCGAGACCAGCCCTCACTATATCCAGAGACTTTCTTTCTTTTAGACTTATTTATTCTACTTAATGTGTATGAGTGTTTTATTCACATGTATGTTTGTGCACCATGTGAATACTTCGTACCCACAGAGGTCAGAAGAGGGTGTCTGATCTCACAGAACTGGAGTTGTGGATGGTTGTGAGCCTCCATGTGGGTGCTGGGAATTGCACCCAGATCCTTTACAAGAACAAGTGCTCTTAACCACTGAGTCATATTTCCAGCTTGAGATTTTTAAAAAACAAAGGCCCCCCAGGATTATTTTAGTTTACATTTGTCTAATGTTTCCTTATTACTAAATTCAGGTTGTGTAGACTTGAGATGGCTCAGCAGGCAACAGTGTTTGCAGCATAACCTGAGTTTGATCCATGGATCCCAAGGTGGAAGGACATTAACTCCTAAAAGTTGTCTTTTAACTTCCAGTGCTGCTCACAAGCCTCCCTCCCCACCCTACACACACACACACACACACACACACACACACACACACACACACACACACACACACATAATATTTTTTTAAAGCTGGGGCATGGTGACACACATCTTTAATTCCAGTACTCAAGAGGCAGAGGCTGAGGCACACATGACTCTGTTTTGTATCTCACTGAAACCCTGCACTATGACCTGTGCTGGGTTTCTCACTTGGAGACATCCAATGTCATCTGTCCAGAAGTGGCTATCTTCACACTTGAGGCAAGATGTCTGATCCCTTTGTTATGAACTTTCCCCCCTCCCCCCTCCCCCCCCGGACTGGCTTCAAGCTTTCTATGTATGTAGACCAGGCTGGCTTCAAACTCAGAGATCCATCTGCCTCTGTTTCCTGAATGCTGGGATTAAACACATGAGTCATTATGCCTGGCTGTTGTATATTTTCAAAAAAGTTATTGGGTGTGCCTGTTTCAGTGTGCTAGATGTATGTGGAGACATGTGTACCATCATGACAGATCGGAGGACAGCTCTGCAGAGTTAGTTCTGTCTTTACCTGAGTTTGAGATTGAACTCAGGTTGTCAGGCTTCACAGCTTGTGCCTTTACCTCTTGAGTCACCTCACTGGCCCTGTAGAGTTACTTTTTGTTAATGTTCTTTTGTTTTGAGACAGGTTTTCATGTAGCCTGAGCTGGCTTTAAACTCACCATGTAGCTGGGGTGACCCTGAACTTCTGATAGTCTCTCCTCTACCTCCCAAGTACTGGGATTACAGGCATGGGCCACCACTGATGGCTTTGTATATTTTGTCTAGTTAAAACTGTTTTCACTGTAGCTGCTGGTGATCAATCTGTAAAGACACACTTTAGTCTCATGCTGTTATCCCCCCTCTCTAAACATCTCCCTAGACTTATTTCCTGTTGATGAAAAAAGCATTTATTTTGTTTGTGTATGCGTGTGAGAAAGTGTGTGTGTGTGTGTGTGTGAGAGAGAGAGAGAGAGAGAGAGAGAGAGAGAGAGAGAGAGAGAGAGAGAGAGAGAGCACTCCTGTGTCTGCACATGGACTTGAACTTGTGTGCCTCGGTGTGTGCTATGTGTGGGAGTCAGCAGGCAATTTTGTGGAATTCTCCCCTTCCACCACGTGTGCTCTAGGAATCAAATATGTCAGCGGGCTTGGTAGTAGGAGCTTCCACAGGCTGAGACATTTTGCCAGCCCCCATCGAGTAGTTTTACATAAGCTGTCTCTATGTCTCCAGCTCCTTCTGCTTTCTTGTTCTGTTCTGGGCAGTTTTCTTACCACCTTTTCTGTGGTCTCCTGGATAACCCCACCCACCTGTATCTGACCTGGCTCATGGCCTTGCTCATAGTCCATCTCTTGCTTGCAAAGGCAGGTCAGTTTGCAGTGAGCAGAGCTTGGGGACTCTCTTCTCCTTTTCTGTCCCAGAGCTTCCCTTCCTTAGTGCAGCTGCTGCAGCCATAGGCTAGATGGAGGGATCACAGAGCTATCCAATCACCAGTGCGATACCCTCTTCCCACAACAGGGCTAGGAGGATGAGTGATGAAATCCCACCAGCATGGCTGCAGCGTGCTCAGCAGAACCCTGTGATAAGATGTCTAACAGTTACAGGGTGGCTGTTTTGAGGTTAAGAGGCTGGGAGCCCACAGGAAGTGACTTAGTGCTGAGCTGATGCAGCTTTGTTCAGCACCCGTCCTGACACAGAGACTGCAGCTGGCACTGCTGGGAATGGCCACAGAGTGCACCGATCCTTGTATGGGGGGAACACAGAGCCAGGCCCTGAATCCAGATGGGCACTATGGGGCCTTGGCTTCAGGTAGGTGTGTGCCTTCCTCCGCATCTGCCTCCTGGAGCCTGCCCCGCTGGAGAGCATACTTGGCTGCTGCTGTTCTCTGCTATATCAACCTTCTGAACTACATGAACTGGTTCATCATCCCAGGTGAGGAGGGAAAGGGTGGCTCAGGGCGGTATCTCCAGGTATCCCCACCCTACAAGCCCGTGACTGTGCACCCATGGTGGCCTTCCTCCCAGCACCCTCTCTTCTCTTGGAGCACATCTCTGGTGGTTTCACCCCTGTAAGTGACCTCCAGCCTGTCCTGAGTGGTCCCAAGCCAGAATGGGGCACAGTGTGTGGGGCGGGGACGTTAGGAGGTAGATGGATGGGATTGTACTCTGCAGCAAAGGCCTCAGGTTGAAGACGGAGCTGCAGGCAAGGTTATGGAGGGCAGGACAGCTTGGCTCAGCTCCCAAATGAGAATGTCTCTTCCTGGGCTGTTTCTGGGGCATCTGGCTGCTGGCCTGACTTGCACAGTTTGTCATCCTTCTTGTAGGAAACAGGGCACAACCTGCTTCTGTGTTCTGTCACTCACTTATGTATTCCTTTGTGACTGGGATCAGCTTGCTTTTCTATTCATTCATTCCTTCATCTGTTCATAGTCAACCCTGATTGCGTGTGTGTGTGTGTGTGTGTGTGTGTGTGTGTGTGTGTGTGTGTGTGTGATGTTCATAAGTGCATGTGTGGCAGTCAGAGGACCACTCTCTGGAGTCGGTGCTCCCCTTTACCTTTATGTGAGCTCCAGGGATTGAACTCAGGTCTCCAGGCTTGTTCAGCAAGTGTCTTCACAAGGCGAGTCCTCTTGGCAGCTCTCTTTTCTTTTTTGAGGCAGGGCCTCATGTAACTTAGGCTAGACTCAAACTCTCTATGTAGCTGAGGATGCTCTTAACCTACTGTCATTCCTGCCTTTGCTCCTGAGAGCCAGGATTACAGGAATGTCACCACATTGATTTATGTAGTCTTAGGGATTGAAGCTAGGGTTTTGTGCATGCTAGGCAAGCACACTACTAGCTGACTGACTCCCCAGCCTCTTCTGATTCTTTCTTTCTTTGTTTTTGAGACAGGGTCTTACGGAAGAGCAGGTTGCTTCTGAATTCACTGTGTAGTTGAAAATCATCTTGAACTCACAATCCTCCTGCCTCTGCCTCCCAAGTGCTGAGATTATGGATGTGACATCATGCCTAGTCAACCTTTCCTTTTCTTCATCCACATGTTTCAGATTGAGCACTGTGAGCAGGAGCCTCTGGTAGGACGCAGGCGAAACTCAGATGTGTGGGTCCTACAGCCTGGACTACTGTTTTAAGGGGCACAGAAATAACAGTCATGCAAGGCAGGGAGGTGATTTGGGGGTGATGGTGCAGATGAGGGGGCTCGGGCCAGGCTGAGAAACCTCCTTAAGTAACTGCATCTGCTGGCCATGCCCAAAGCCGGGACGTTGAGCATGAGTTATGTGTTTAGAATAGCCAGGAACCTCTGTGGAATGAATGGGAGTCTGGGGCTGCAGACATCACCAGAGCAGGACTGTGTCTCTGGGGAGCTCAGAGGGACATAGAACATGTGCCCAGCCTGTTCTGGTGTGAGACAGAGGGGACAGAGTGCGATGAGTGCCAGCAGATCAGCCCTGAGGGTGAATGACTATACAACTCACACACAGGGACTGTTTGGCCTGGGCCTTGGGGACCGAGATGACTGGAAGGGCACGGATTATAGAGGTGTGAGTCCAGGTAGGTAAGTGTAGTGATCAGAAGTGGCAAGAGGGAGAGAAATCAGGAAATAATCCCCAGATCACAGGCTTTTTGAATGCCAGCCTGGGAGCTTGTACTCTCTTGTCCAGGCAATGGGGAGCCATGGGAGAGAATTGTAAGTGGAAGATTATAATGGGATTTGGGCCCTCGAAAGATGCAAGATGAGCTTGGGAGGTCAGTTCAGAGGCTACCAAAGGGGATCAGGCTGAAGGTGAGGCCAGAACCTTAGTATGGGCTGAGAGGCTTGGAGGAATGGGAGGGGTGAGAGGCACAGCTGCTAGGAAGTGCCACTGCGCAGCCTTCTGAGGATTAGCCCTAACTGTAGCTCTTTCTGCCCTGGGCCCCCCCAATGGGGCTGTCAGACTCTGAGACCCGCATGCCAAGGGTGCTTCCCCCTTGGAACTTCCAATGGTTGTGGTCACAATGGGGAAGACTTGGAGAAGTGAAACCATGCAGGGGCTCTTGGGGACTGTTGGGACCAAGCGGTGGTGTAGCAGCTAAGATTCTCCTGTGAAAAGAGCACTTAGGAAGACCAGGATGTTAGGAACCAGAAGAACTGGCTTCATTTTTGGTCTTGGGCTACCCACAAGGTTGAGAAGATCACAGGAGACATATCAAGGGAACTCTCCTAAAAATGGAAAATGAGTGCACTCAGAGGACTTTTAGGCAGCTATTTTCCTTGCTAACTCATGTTGCATATTTTTCTCTCACTCCAATGATTATGCCATCTGGTGTCATTAAAAGATAAGAAAGGGCTGAGGATGTAACTAAGTTGGTAGAGTGCTTGTTTGGCATGCAGGAAGTCCTGGGTTACATCCACAGCACCCCATAAAACCAGTGGGGTGGCACATTCCTGTAATCCTAGTACTTACGATAGAGTCAGGAGGCTTACAAGTTCAAGGTCATCCTTGGCTACAAAAAGAGTTTAAGGCCAACTTAAGACTCTGAGGATTTTTTTTCCTCAAAATGATAATTTTTAAAGGTAAAACAGATATACAGCTGTGTATGTTTGGATGTTATGGTGATTGGGCTCAAACTAGATGAATAAATAAACTCTCCTACCTGGTGCCTTCCGTTCTTTGATCTTCATTCACTGGCTGCTGGATATCACATTAGAGGGGTGGGTGTAGGGCTTCTTGTGGGCGGGCCCATGTGGGGATGTTTGTTCCCCTCTGTGATGCTGGATGGGGGAGCTGCCTCTGTCAGAGTTGCAATCCGTGCTCCTCCCATTCCAGCTGGACGGTCTTGGGCAGGTGGAGTCTGTGTCTAAAGCACAGTGATGCCCCCCACCTCTTTTTGAGACAGGGTTTCATGTAACTTAGACTGGCTTTGAAGTCTGCTGGCCTCAAACTCCTGATCATCCTGTCTCCAGCTCCTGATGGCTGAGATTGTGTGCTGCCATGCTGACTTGGTGTGTGTTTGGTAGGGGCATGTTTCTGGTTTTTGCTACTGTTGCTGCTATCGCTGTGTGGTTGTACAAATGTACAGGTAGGTGGAGATGAGGACCATAGGCCCAGCTACTGTGTCCTGTGCTGTGCTGCTCATCTGGGCCTGTCCCAGAATCTGAGGAACCAGCCTTGGAGGCCACTTGGGGGGTTACTTCCCATCAACACTGTTCATCTGTCCCTAGGAGTGTTACTGGATGTCCAGAAGTATTTCCACATCAGTGACAGCCATGCTGGTTTGCTGCAGACAGGTAAGGAACCTGGACCCTGGAACAAGGCCTCTTTGTCATAGTGTGGTGGTTTCTGTAGCTGGCTCCAGACCCTTAGTCTTCTGCAGGAGAGAGCTGGGGCTTGACCAGGCCCTGGAGCTGGGGAAGGCTCCTGAGTGATCCCAGTTCCCATCCTGCTTGCAGCTCAGCTGAGTATTCCACAGAGAAGCATGAAATCCCAGTGTGTGCTTTTCTCTCAGGACTCACAGACAGGAAGACTTTGATCCTCAGGTGGACTCAGAAGGCCTCTGGGCCACAGAGAATCTGCTAATCCAGCATCAGGGAGCAGCCACACATTGGTTTATGACATCCTGAAGCATACGTTAACCTTCCATGAAAACTTGAGTTAAGTGATACACACCTGTATGTATGCACACAGGGATGCACATGGTCACAGCACACAACCCCGCATGTACACTGCGGCTCCTCCCTGCAGCCTGCCCTCCCCCTGCAATTGCCCATTGTCATAGTTTCACAGCAGGTTCTCAAACTAGGTATGGGGAGCCGGACTTTTCCTGGACTGTGTGAACAGTCCTGAGAGATCTATTTCAGTCTGCCTGTTGTTTTCCTAACATGATCAGTCTGGAACAAACCCGTGCCTGGAGGGTTGGTCCCCTTTGTCATTGTCCCATCCTTACCCTACTCCTGTACTGTCTGTCCACTATCTGAAGTGGAAAGGATTGCTAAATCTGTATGCTCCTCTCTGTAAAACTTGAGGGTACCAAGCAAAGGGGCCTGCTATGGCTTCTGCAGGGAGGCTCAGGGCACAGACAGCTCACTCATAGAAATGCTTCTATGTCTTCCCACCAAGCCACTCACCCCTGGCGAGGAGCCAAGCCTTATCTAGCCAGCCCTGTTCGTGACTGCTATTTATCTATGAATTCAACTTCAGAAAGGAGATGGTGATCTCTGGGATAGGTATTAACACACTGCTTTTGATCTTAACAAGCCACAGTTTCCTCACAGTCTGATTTGACAGGTTAGTTTGGCAAAGCAGGGCTGACTTTCCCACTTGGGTTCATGGCAGGCCTTTCCCATAAACCGAATGAACTCCATCTGCCCCTTAGAGTGCTTGATGGAAATACTGTTTACAAAAATAAAGTCATCCCTCTGTCTTCTGGGGACCAGTTCCAGGATCCCTGTAGATGGTCAGTCCAAAAAGGCTAAGAGTTCCAGGCCAGTCTGGCCTACTTAGTTCTAGGCAGCCAGTATTACATAGTGGGACGGATCCTGTCTAAAATAAAAAGACATAGTATCTGAGTGTAGTGGTACATGACTTCAATCCAGGCTCTCGGGAGGCAGAGGCAGGTAGATCTTTGTGAGTATGAGGCCAGCCTAATTTACAGAGAGATTTCTAGGATATCCAGGACTACATACAAAGACCTTGTCTCAAAAAAAAAAAAAAGGCGTAGTGTTTGCAGGTCCCCTAATACATCTTCCTCTAAAATCAGGTCATCTCCAAATGACTTGGGGTAGCTAACACAAGTCTCTGTAAACCATTGTTATAGTGTTTCATTTTGGGACTAGTGAAAAGGATAAAAGTCTGTACAATGTCAGTGAACTACTTCAACTTTAGACAAAAGGTTTCATTTATTTTTATTAACATTTATTTTGTTTTGCTTTTTTTCAAAACAGGGTTTCTCTGTGTAGCACTGGCTGTCCTGGAACTGTCTCTGTAGACCAGCCTGGTCTCAAACACAGAGATCCTCCTGCCTCTGCCTCCTGAGTGCACTGCTGGGATTATCAGTGTACACTGCCTCGCCTGGATTTAGTTACTTTAAAATGTTTATGATTACCTTATGTGTATGAATGTTCTGCTTGCATGTGAGTATGTGTACTGTGTGTGTTCCTGGTGCCATTGGAGGTCAGAAGAGGGCATTGGAGGCTCTAGGACTGAAGTTCTGAGCTTCCTGATATGGGTGCTGGCAACTGAACTTGGGTCCTCTATACGAACAACATGTGCTCTTAACTCTGCTCCATCTCTCCCAAAGGTATTTATTTATTTGCTTTGAGATAAGGTCTCACGTAACTCAGACTGGTCCCGAACCCACCAAGTAGTCAAGAATCATCTTGAATTCTTGATCCATCTGCTTATAGTTTCCCAGAACTGAGACTGCAGATATGTATTCCATGCTTGGCTAATAAAAAATTTTTAAATGTCAACTGAAAGCATATGAAAAATAAGTAGTTCTAGAGGGAGTGCAAACAACACAGATCTATAATAACGTTAGTGAACCGGGATTGGCAGCACATGCTTCGGGAGGCAGAGGCAGGTAGATTCTATGAATTAAAGGCTAACCTGGTCTACGTAGTGGGCTCCAAGCCAAACAGGGCTGCACAGGGATACTCTGTCTCGAACAGATGGAAACAAATAAAACACCATCACAAGCATTTGTAGTGTATGCTTGTGACCCCTGGGAAGCGGAGGCAGGAAGAAGAGTCAAAGTTATCAGCCAAGTAGGGAGAGAGAGGCTGCCTGGGCCTCAGCTCATTTGTTCAGTGAGATACCGTTTGTTTTTCATTAGACAGCTGAAAATGAAATTCTAGTTCATATCAGTTGGTGACAAGAGTTCTAACAAGCACTTCTGTGCAAGTGTAAACTGATACAGCCTTTTTGGAGCCCTATTTTGGCAGTAGCTATTACAATTTTAAACTCCGTCAACACTGGAGATCACTCTCTGTGGAGTATTAGGTTGAACCATATTAAATTGCTGGTTTTGTAGGTCAAAAGTGGCCTAATTTCCACAATTGTGTATTGCTTAACCTAGTACTACAGCAGGTCATGAGAGAGTGGGAGGGACTGGGGCCTGAGCTGGGCATTCACTGGGCTCAGGAAATGTCAATCATCTATTATCAGCAAATGGAGTCCCAGGTTTTAGACAGAGCCCTCCTAAGTCTTGGCCCTTTGATGGTGGATAAGGTGAAGAGGGGAGGGGTTTTTAGGCCTCTGTCTACCTGCTAACTCTCCCAACAAGGAAGGAGGAGATTTATTTTAGATACAGACATCATGCATGGGTTTATCCATGTGCTACACAGTTGGGCAAACCCAAAGCCAAGTCTTGTTCTCATTGAAGAGCAAACACATCACTAATAAGTGCTTTGTTTAGTTTTAGTTTTTAAAAATATTATTATAGGCTGGAACAATGACTGATCAGTTAAGAGCACTGGTTTGACTGGATGGTGGTGGCACATGCCTTTAATCCCAACACTTGGAAGGCAGAGGCAGGCAGATCTCTGAGTTTGAAGCCAGCTTGGTCTACAGAGTGAATTCCAGGATGTCAGGGCTGTTACATAGAGAAACCCTGTCTCAAAAAAGCAAAACAAACAAACAAAAAAAGCCCTCATACACACAAAATAATACGTTTTTAAAAATTAAAAGAAACATTTTTATTGCATTGTGTGTGTGTGTGTGTGTGTGTATGTATGTATGTATGTATGTATGTATGTGTGCTCGTGTGCCTGTTCTGTGTGTGTACGTAAGTCACAAAGTGAGTGTAGTCAGAGGACAATTTGCTGAAGTTGACTTTGTTGTTTCAACCTTGTAGGCCCTGGGGATCGACCTCAGGTCTTTGGGCTTGGTGGCAAGCATCTTCAGTCACTGAGGCATCTCAACTGGCCCCTTGTTTTTGAGACAAGGTCTTGCCTTGTATCCCAGGTTGTCCTTGAACCTCTGGTTCTTTTGTCTCAGCCTCCAGAGTTCTGGAATTACAAGCACCATGCCTGACTTGATGCAGATGTAGCTGGAGATGTAGTTCATTTGGTAGGTGCTTGTGTGGGATGCACAAAGCCCTGGGTTCTATTGCATTGCCTAAAAATGGAGTGTGGTGACACACACTTGTAGCACCAGCAGTCAGGAGGTAGAGACAGGAGGAAGATCAGAAGTTCAAGGTTATCCTTGGCTACATAACAATTTCAAGGCCAGCAACCTAGGATACGTGAGACCCTCGTTAATACATAGGTGTTGGTGTAGAGAATAGTGTGTGCCCTGAGGCACACCAGCTCTTTTCCCCAGTCTCCTGCATCATCATTGGCTTTTAGTCCATGTGCTTGTTTCAGGTTCCTCCTCTGCTGGTCTAAAGGCCTGATCTCCCTTTCCTCTTGCCAGCAGCAGGTGTGTGAGTGACAGATCCGATCAGTTCCTGTACCCACACTCACAGAAGCCATGCATTCGTACAAATTCAGAAGGCTAGCGCCCACTCTGTGCTGGCAGCTCTACAATTCCTTTTATGTTGCCTGAAGGAGAGTGTCAGCTTCCCAAGACTAGGGTAATGCTCAGAGGCCACACAGTAACATAAATCAGAGTTGAGATTTGGTCCATGCTCAGTGTCCTATACTCTGGGCTGTAGTTTGTATAATGGATCAGGAATGTAAGACTCAACTTTTATCTCTTCCTTGTCTTGTCCTGGGCCTACTGCCAAGGTGCCAGCTTGTGGCATCTGTGCCAGGCCTCTTCCCTGGGCCAGCAGGGCTGTCTGCCCAGCTACCCTCTTGGAGGTTCCAGGCTGCCTCTTGTGTGTCTCCTCCAGTCTTCATCGGCTGCCTGCTGGTGTCTGCGCCTGTGTTTGGCTATCTGGGTGACCGCCACAGCCGCAAGGCCACACTGAGCTTTGGGATCCTGCTGTGGTCAGGCGCTGGCCTTTCCAGCTCCTTCATCTCCTACCAGGTAGGGCCCACATCGCTGCCCAGTCCCTGGGACCTTCCCCATCTGCTTTCTCCCTCATCCAGTTGCCTCAGAGTTCCCTTCTGGCCCAAGCCAGCTCAGGGATTGTACTGCCAGGGCCAGGAGGGGAGCTGTGGTACAGCCTCTAAGCCTGAGTAGGGAGGCTGTTAGACATGTTTTTCTTTTCTTTTCTTTTTTTTTTTTTTTTTGAGGTAGGGTCTCACTATATAGCACTGGATGTCCTGGAACTAGCTTTGTAGACCAGACAGACCTAGAACTCATAGAAATCTGCCTGCTTCTGTTTCCAGAGTGCTGAGATTAAAGGTGTGCACCACTAAGCCCTGATGTTGTTTTTGAAATAGTGTCTTGCTCTGTAGCTCTGACTGGGTTCTTCATGTAGAAGAGGCTGGTCTTGAACTCTCAGAAATCCACTTCTGCCTTTCAAGTGCTGAAATCAAAGGCATGTACCACCATGTCCACCTGGCCCATTAGATTTTCTTTTTAAATTTTTTTATTTATTTAACTTTATTTTATGTACATTGGAGTGAAGGTATCCAATCCCCTGGAACTTGAGTTACAGACAGTTGTGAGCTGTCATGTGGGTGCTGGGAATTGAACCTAGGTCCTTTTGAAGAACAGCCAGTGCTTTTTAACCGCTGATCCATCTCTCCAGCCTCTTTTTAATGTTTTTTTTTTTTTGAGACAGGGTTTCCTTTGTGTTTTGTTGTTGTTTTTTGTTTTTATTTTTTCTAGATGGGATCTCTCACTATATAGTAATGGCTGTCTTATAACTCACTTTGTAGGCCGGATGGTCTCGAACTCAGAAATCCACCTGCCTCTGCCTCTCAAGTGTTTGGGACTAAAGATGTGTGTCACCACACCCAGCCCGGCCCGTTATACTTTCTTAACAGGAGGCTTCCTGGCCCTTCATTTCACTTCCCATTTTGGTGGGCTCAGCGAGGGTTGGGGAAGGTTGGCATAATAGGTTCTGTCTTGGGAAACTGCCCTGGCTAAAGAGAGCCAAAGGAAGGGTTTCCCCTCTGTTCTGAGCGGGCAGTGGCCATAAGCACCAGTAGGCTCACCCATAGGATTCTGGGAATCTGGAGTCTCTAAGGGCCTTTGTCATGAGGTCCCTTTAGGCCCTCTGACACATCCTCTGACCCCTTGTCCCATGGGAAATTTCTGGATCTCACCATGGTCTTGTGCCGGCCTATCCAGTATTGCTGGCTCTTCTTCCTGTCCCGTGGGGCCGTGGGCACTGGCGCAGCAAGTTACTCCACCATTGCACCCACTGTCCTGGGCGACCTCTTCGTGAAGGATCAGCGGACCTGTGTCCTGGCTGTCTTTTACATCTTCATCCCTGTTGGAAGGTTGGTACCATTTCTGGACCCACCTCCCCAAAAGTAAACTGAGGCTGAAGGAATCAGAGCAGGGGCTGTGCTGGTGGTAGGAGAGATCAAACCAGGAGGGCTAGGATCTGCATCACTGCTCCTTCCTTCCCCACCACTGCCCCCCTCTCCCAGCCTTTTCCCTAGGCTGTAAATGGGGACAATGCTGTCGCTCAATAGGCTAGGTGAAGGTTATATGAGAACTATGCTTCTGAAGATCAGCACACTTCTAGAAGGGATGAGAAGAGGCAGTGTGGCCCCCAGGGAAGGGCAGCCCTGGGAGACCAGTGAGGAAGTGTGCTTTGAGGCCCTATGGGGAGGTCCCTGAGCTCCGACCCTCATTTCCTGAACCTGCCTGACTCAAGCAGGGCTGGGCTTTGGACACTAGGGGTGCGGTTGGTGACGGGGTATGCAATTCCTTATATGGAGGGAATGGCGCAGGGCCAGGGCCAGGAGCCAGAGGTCACTAGGGGTCTGGCTAAGGGTAGCATAAAACTGGGCTTTTCTCAGGGAATGGGCTCTGAGGCTCAGAGAACTGGGCCTGGGCAGGGGAGCCAGTTCTCTGCAGTCAGACTGGCCGTGGGCCCTGCCTTCCACCCCTCACTGTTATCTCTCTTACCCCATTGTTGCAGTGGTCTGGGCTACGTGCTAGGGTCAGTTGTGGCGGAGCTGACAGGGAACTGGCGTTGGGCCCTTCGAGTAAGTTCCACTTCCTTTTTGTCCCTCTGCCTTACCCCCTGGGCGGGCTGGGACTTTCCAGTCTCCATGGCCTTCGCCACTTGGCATAGTACCTGGCGCCATGTGGGGTGTTGGATACTGGCGACCAGGCCTCATGGGGAATATGGGCTATGGAAATTGTGACCTTGGAGTCAAATCCCAGCTGCTGAGTTTGCTGGCTGTGTGGCCTCAGGCAAGTTGCCTTCTTGTTTGGTGCCTCGGCTTCCCTTGCTGTAAAACTTAAAGCTACCTATGGATTCTTAAGGCTTATTTGAGCAAGGACTGGAAAGTTTCTGCGTCAGGCCAGACAGAGCATCCTTTTTTTAAATTTTTATTTATTCATTATGTATACAGTGTTCTGTCTGCATGTATGCTTGTACACCAGAAAAGGGCACCAGATCTTATTACAGATGGTTGTGAGCCACCATGTGGTTGCTGGGAATTGAACTCAGGACCTCTGGCTAGTCTAGAGTTCAGACTCTGTCTCCTAGACTGTGGTAGGTAGCATTTGGCTCTGAGCTCCCTGGCCCTCTCTCCCTAGATCATGCCCTGTTTGGATGCTCTGGCCTTAGTCCTGCTCATCCTGCTGGTTCCAGACATACCTCGAGGAGCAGCTGAGAAACAGGGAGAAGTGGCAGTGGGGGCTCCAAGGAGCAGCTGGTGTGAGGATGTCAGATACCTGGGGAAAAAGTAAGTGTCCCTGCTCTGTTACAAGTTTCAAGAAAGCCCTCTGGGGGTGGAGAGAAGGCTCAAAGGCTAAGTGCATTGAGTGCTCTTCTCCAGTTCAAGTCCCAGTAACCACGTGGTGGCTCATAACCACCTGTAGTGAGGTCTGATGCCCTCTTCTGGCGTGTAGGCAAACATGCAGACAGAATACTTCAGAATACTATACATTTAAAAAAAAACATAAAAAAGAGAATACTATACATAATAAATAGATCCTTAAAAAATAACCCCTCTCTCTGGTCCAACAACTCCAACCTCCCATTTCTCTGCCTCTAGGGCTGCCTCGGTGTTCATGGCCTTCTTCCTTCTCTGAGCCCCACTCTTACTGAGATGCCCCTATTACTCCGTCCCTCTGTAGGTGGCAGACCTGTGACAGTGGGGCCAGCTGTGTGAGCTCTAGCCCTGCACTATGTTCATTTATCCAGTGGACTTGGTTTTCCAACCCCCACCGGCTTCCCCAGGCTGCTGGAAGGGTGCTTTGGGTTCATTGTCCACCTCTTCAAGCTGCATGGGAGCAACGCTGGCCCCTGTGCCAGGTCTCGAAGAGAAGCAGCATAAGCACTGTAGTCTCAGGCCTCATGATTCACTGCAGCGTGGAGCATGAGGGTGGCTCAGAACATTAGGGAGTCTGGATCCTGCATGACTGGGGGAGTGGTCAGGCCCTTTCAGTCCTGGCCCTATCTTGGCTTCAGCCAGGACACTTTCTCTTGCAGCTGGAGTTTTGTGTTTTCAACTCTTGGAGTGACAGCCATAGCTTTTGTGACTGGAGCTCTGGGTTTCTGGGCACCCAAGTTTTTGTTTGAAGCTCGAGTGGTCCACGGCCTACAGCTTCCCTGCTTCCAGGAGCAGTGCGGCAGCCAGGACAGGTGAGGAGGGGCTGGGGGGCACTGGCCTGGTTCATGGCTCTTGCTGGGGGCAGTTCCCAGGAGGCTGTGAGCCCAGGCTCAGTCTTTGCAGGCAATCTGTGAAGATTTCTGATCTTTGGACCCGTGAGCAGGTCAGGGTTCCAACTCTGACTGAGTCTGCCCTTGTATGTGCACAGACATCTTTGTTGGCTTTCGTGGTGTTGGAATCTCTGTCTTTCTACTCTCATGGCTGTTGTGGGGGTTCTGAAGGCACCAGAGGAAGAAGGATGTGAGGCTTCTGTGGGACTTCAGGGAATGATAGGAATCATAGGTGATCACCCTTTGTGCTTCAAAGGGGCCCCAAGTGTTTTCTGTGAGGTCACCCCATTTTACAGATTGCAAATTAAGGCACTGGGAAGATCCTTCATGTGTCTAGCTTAGGGATGTCAAGGATGTTTTCATTTCTTCTTTGTCCCATCAGTGCATCTAGACACCCAGGAGAGTTGTTGAGGTGTCACTTCATGTCCTGGTTCTGCTGTCCTCTACTGTCCCTACCACCTCTTGCCATATTCTCCAAGGACTTCAGTGACCCCTGATGGGACTCAAGAACATCTCCTAGGCCTACATCCCTTGTCTTCCCTTCTCTTTGATGCCCCTATTTCCTTGCCCCCATCCCTGGTGACATGCTCTCTCTCCTGTATCCTTTTTCATCTTTGATCTTGCCCTGCTGATTTCTTGGACTTTTAAATTAAGTTGTTAAATTTTAGGTATGTGGGTGTTTTGCCTATATATATATGTATATATATATATTCATATATATGCACCACACGCATGCAGTGCCTGAGGGGACCAGAAGAGGGCATCAAATCCCCAGAACCGGAGTTACAGATGGTTGTGAGTTGCTATGTGGATGCTGGGAATCAGATCTGGTCCTCTGCTAGTGTAGCAGGTGCTCTTAGTGTCGCTGTTAACCGTTGAGCATCTCTTCAGCCCCAGCCTCCCCTCTGCTTGGTTCTCTGCTGGTCACAACAACACCTTCTTCCTCTTCTCCAGCCTCCTTTTTTGCTTCAGTTTTCCCTGATGCCCAGAGGGAGCTTGTGTGATTTCCAGAATGTCTGTGCTTTTGCCCCAGTGTGATCTCTGCCCATAGTTTTCTTCCCTTTTCTCATCATTATTTATTGAACTCATTTATTTTGCAGTTCTGGGGACTGAACCCAAGGCCTTGTACATTCTAAGCAAGTGTTCTTTGGGGTGAATGCTAGGCAAATGCTCCACTGATGAGCCACACTCAGCCTCTCCCTGGCAGATTTTAGTGACGGTGCTATCAATGAGCCACACCTCCAGCTCTAAATGTTTGCTTCAGGCCTTGTGCCAACTGTTTTACATAAAGAACATGCAGAGGAAGGTATTTATGCTGTCTCTGAATTACAAATGAGATGGAAGGTCACACAGATTAAATGACTTGACTAAGGTAGCCCATCTAACACTGCAGCTGTTGTTCGAAGACCCCAGGTCCTGTTGCCATTGGAGACTGCCTGGTGCTGTCAATAACTTTCAAGGTGCTTCACCAATTGGCAGAGCTTTCTGGCGAATAGGAAAAGCTCTAGTGAACAAACACATAGAGATGGTGAAGTTTGCCTTTGTTCCCCTGCGCAGTTGTCCTCTCTGGAGGCAAAGACAGCTTCCCAAACAGACCCCAAAGAGGACTCAATCCCACTTCAGGTATTGATGAGGACTCAGTCCCACTTCAGGTACTGATACTTGCTTATAGAAGCTATTGTCTCTGCTCAACTCCCACTTTCTGGTCCCTCACCATTTGGGTGAGAACTGATGGGTAAATTTGTTTCTTGTGCTTGATAAAATAAATGACCACACACTTCATGGTCTAAAGCCACAGAAATGTGGGCTTGGGCTGGGACTGGCTCAGGTAGTAGAATGCTTTCCTAGAGTGCACGAGGCCCTGCGTCTCATCCTAGAATTGCACAAGACCAGAACAATAACACACACCTGTAACCTTAGCACCTGGGAGAAGGAGGCAAGAGGACCCAGGAGTTCAAGGGTGAAGCCTGCAAGATGGCTCAGTGGGTAAAGGCTCTTGCCATCAAGACTGATGACCTGGTTTTCAATCCCTGGAAACATACACGATGGAAGGGGAAACCAGTTTCCCTGACCTCCACTTGTATATATGGCACCTCGTGCATGCATGCATGCATACATACATACATGCATACATACATCATACATGCTCATAATATACATAAGGTTCAAGTTATCCTAAGCTACATAGGGAGTATGAGGCTAGCATGGTAGCCTGAAACACATGGGAATCTACCTAAAAAAAAAAAAAAGAACCAAGAAAAGAAAAAAATGACATGCCCTGGGTTCCAACCCAAGTACTAAAAATAAAATAAAAAGCTCAACTGAAAAACCCAGAAATTAGTTTTGTCATGATTTTGGAGGCTGGCACTTCCAGTGGGCCCAAATATGCAGCGTCATGTTCCCTCGGAGCTTTGTGGAGACTTTGCCTCTCCTAGATCCTCATAGCTGGTAGCATCCTTGGCCACATCTCTCTAACCTCTGCTTTCAAAGTCACATGACATGATCCTCATCTTTCTGGGCTGGAGGTCCCTCAGTGAATACAGACTGTGCTCAGGCCTTATCTGACTGAGGGAGGGTGGCCATTCCAGGCAAGATCAAGATCTATAATATCTGCAAAGTGTGGTTTTTGCTAGGAGGTTCCAGAGACTGGAATATCTTGTGAGGCTATGGAAGAGTGGTAGAAAATGCTTGTGTGGGAGCTGCCACAACCCCTTGGTTAGGCTCAGCCCAGATGCATGTGACAGAGAGGCAGTATCCTCGGTCACTTTCTAGTGCTGTGATAAACACAATGTCCAAAAGCAACCTAGAAGAAGCAAGTGTTTATTTCGCCTTCCCGTCAGTGTCACAGTCCATCACTGAGGGAGGGCAGGGCAGGAATGAAAGCAGGAATCGGGAGGCAGGAATGAAGCAGAACCCTGGAGGAATGCTGTTTACTGGCTTGCTCTCCATGACTCTCAGCTTGCTTTTTTATACAACAGAATCACCTGCTTGGGGTAGTCCAGTTACTTCCCCTAGCAATCCTTAGTCAAGAAAACGCCAGAGGCTGGAGAGATGGCTCATTGTTTTTAAGAAAACGTGCTTGCTTTTGCAGAGAATCTGGGTTTGGTTCTCAGCACCAACATCACAGCTCACAACTGTCTTTAAATCCAATCTCAGGGGAGACAGTGCCCTCTTCTGGCCTCTATGGTTACCAGTGCACATACACATACACAGGTGCATACATACATACACATGCAGATAAATAAATAAGCCAGGAGTGGTGGTACATGCCTTTAACCCCAGCACTTGGAAGGCAGATCTGTGTGAGTTTGAGGCCAGCCTGGTCTACACAGTATTTCTAGGACACCCAGAGCTGCATAGTGAGAACCTGTCTCAAAAAAATCCAAATAAGTAAGTAAATAAATAAGTATTTTAATTAAAAAGAAGAGTCAGGCATAGTGGTACACACCTTTAATCCTAACACTTGGATGGCAGAGGCAGATAGATATCTGTGAGTTTGAGGTCAGCCTGGTCTACATAATGAGTTCTAGAACAGCCAGAGCTACAGTGTGAGACCCTATCTTGGAAAAAAGAAAGAAAATGCCTCATAGACTTGACCATCTGATTGAGGCATCTTCTCAATTCAGGTTCCGGGAAGTTGTTATTTGAACTTGCACATAGGGTTCTAGTTTGTATCAAGTTGACAAAAAATAAAAATAGAAAAATTAGGTAGCACAGGCAGGATGTTTCTATCGCAGCTGCAGGAGAACTTCCAACCCTGGAGCTGAAGTGGCCCGGAGGAAGGAGCTGCATGGTAAAGAGTCCGATCTCAGGGAGTGTGCGGGTGGAGTCTGCGCAGTGAGAGGGCAGTGCTGCAGCGCGCTAGGGTCCTCTTGGGATCCTGTCTTGGGGGTGGTGCTCAAAGGTCTTAGGGGCTGCACTGTATTTTCTGCTGGCACCAGAGCCAGTTGGGGAACTGGTTATGGTGCCTATTCAACTAATCAACCCAAGTATCTTAAAGATCTTGAGAACCCACCACTGCTGGCTGAGAGTGAGACTCAGAGATGGACACTACTTACTCAGCATCTGACTCGTAGCCAGAGCCTGCCTGGGGAGGTTTGTGAGGACCATCACGCAGCTCAGGAACATGCAGGCTTCTGCTTGGTGGCAGAGTGCTCGGAGGTTCTGACCCTGCTCTTGAAAGGCTGTGTTAGGCACCCTCAGGTGAGTTCCTGACTTGGCTTTCACATCCCCTGTTGCATAGAGAAGGTCCACTCATTAGTTTTCAGCTTATAGACAATTCACAGAGGCTGACTGGTGGGCTTCACTGCCCTCAGTTTGCTGATGTCCAGTTTTGCATGGCTGTATTCTTTTAAAAATTAATTTGCTTAAAATAATTGTTAGGAGGCCTGGAGAGTTGGCTCAGTGGTTAAGAGCACTGGATGCTACTCCAGAGGACTTGAGTTTGAGTTTCAACATCCACGTGGTGGCTCACAACTGCCTGTAACTCTAGTACCAGGGGCTCTGATGCCCTTTCTGGCCTCCACTGGCACAAACATTTACCCAGACAAAACACCCATACACATAAAATAAAAACAAAGCCGGGCGTTGGTGGCACACGCCTTTAATCCCAGCACTTGGGAAGTAGAGGCAGATGGATCTCTGTGAGTTCGAGGCCAACCTGGTATACAGAGCAAGTTCCAGGACAGCCTCCAAAACAATACAGAGAAACCCTGTCTCGAAAAACCAAAATTTTTTTTAATTAATTAAAAAAAACAAAATAAAAAACCTGTTACTGTGTGTGTGTGTGCGCGCATGTGTTTTCTTTTTTTTTTTTTTTCTTTTTTTTTTGTTTTGGTTTTTCGAGACAGAGTTTCCCTGTGGCTTTGGAGGCTGTCCTGGAACTAGCTCTTGTAGACCAGGCTGGCCTCGAACTCACAGAGATCCGCCTGCCTCTGCCTCCCAAGTGCTGGGATTAAAGGTGTGTGCCACCAACGCCCGGCTGCACATGTGTTTTCACATGTGTGTGTGGAGACTAGAGAACAACTTGCTATAGTCATTTCTCTCCTTCCACCATGTGAATCCTGGGGAGCAAACTTAGATTGCCAGGCCATCTTGCCAGCCCACATGTCACATGTATGTGTGGGGGGCAGTGTGTGTGTGTGTGTGTGTGTATGGAAGCCAGGAGTAGTTAACCTCAGTGTCACATCTCAGGAGTTGCCCACCTTGATTTTTAGGCTGGGCTGACTGGCCAGAGAGCCTCACTGATCTGCCCATCTCTGCCTTCTCAGGTCTGGGATTATAAAAACATGACGTCATCATGTTTGGCATTGATGCTGATGCTGGGGACTGAACTCAGGTCTTTGAGCTTGAGTAACAAAGCACTTAATGGACTAAGCCATCCCCCTCAGCCCCATGGGGGTAATAGTTGGACCCTGGCCATCTCACATAACTGTAATTTTTGTGTTTGGGGGACATGGCTGAGGGGGACAGGTGTGTGTTGGGCCCACAGAGTTCCAGAGAACAGCCAGAGTAGGGTGGAGAGGCTGGCCGGAAATCGTGAGCCTGGCTCAGAGTATTCTGTCATTTGTGCAAAGGGAATGAGGGGCTGAGAAAGGAGCTACTCTGGCCAGCAGGGCCAGTCCCATAGGGCTGTATGTTGGCCAGGGGCTCACAGAGAAGACACCAGAGTGCCACTGAGGGGCTGGAAGAGCCTGGTTAACGTTCACTCTGGTCACTGTCTCAGCGAGGCTTTGACACTCCTTTAACAGGAGCTTGAATGGAGCAGTGAGACGATGGTCTCTGTCTGTGCAGACCCTGGCTCTGTATCTAGTCTGATACTGTCCTTCACCTTTCTTAGTCTTGTGTCTGAGAATTCTGGGAGGAAAATGTATCCCCTATGTTCTGGGTTCTGTGCTCCCAGTACAGAGAACAGGAAGGAAAACAAATCTTGCCATTGCTTTTCAGGAATCCACAGGGTATGGATGGTAGATAGTGCTACAGGGACCGATGAAAACAAAACAGTTGGAGTGGGAACAGGATGGTGTTCCCTGTGAGGGAGTATCTGTGAGCGTCACATGGATTGAGTAGGAATTTGGAAGTTTAGAATAAAGCAAGGAAGGAAACAAGAAAGCTACTACAGAGTGTTCCAGATGAAAAAATGAAAGTATGTGGGGTGTTCAGGGCTGAGGAAAAGAAAAGTAGAGCTGAGGCTTGGAGTCCACGGAGCTGGGATCAGATCTTTGGGCGTTTGAGGATTTGGGCAGAGTGTGGTTAGGAACATAGTCAATCATGTCTTAAGCACTTTCTGGGACTGGAGAGGCTGTGCAGTGGTTAGAGCATTGACTGCTGGGGTTTGGTTCCTAGCACCCACAAGTCAGTTTACAACTACCTGTCACTCTAGCTTCAGAGGACCTGATGCCCCTCTGACCACAGTTGGTACTGCATGCACACATAATCAAACATAAAAATAAAGTCATAAAGAGGAGGGAGAGCCAGTGATGGTGGCGCATGCCTTTAATCCTAGCACTCAGGAGGCAGAGGCAGGCAGATCTCGGTGAGTTCGAGAACAGTGTGGTTTACAAAGCTGCTACACAGAGAAACCCTGTCTCAAAAAAAAAAAAAAAAAGAGCAGCTACACTTTCTGAGGGCCCATGTAGAGAGATAGTCTCTGTCAAAGTCAGATGGGTTTGAAGTGTGTGCAAGGATGTGTGGGAAAGGCATGCTGTCGGGCCTGCTTAGGAGGTATGCCGAGCCAGGGTGAAGACGGGTGGGATTTAAGAGGTGAGTGCGCAGGTGTGGTGGCACCCATCTTGACCCCAGTACTGGGGAGGCAGAGGCAGGTGGATGTCTGTGAGTTAGAGGCCAGCCTGATCTACAAAGTGAGTTCCAGGACAGCCAAGGCATAACAGGAGCCTACCTCAAAAAAAATAAACAAACAAAACACGCGTGCGCGCGCGCACGCGCGCACATGCACACACACACACCAAAACACCACCACCAAAACCAAATGAACAAAAAAGAGGTGAGTGTGTGCAATGTCCAGACAGAGCTATGCACGTCATGGGAGTTAGTACATGCCAGCCATCTAAGCATCGAGGATGGCTGGGTCCCTGGAGTTAAGATTTCTGAGGAGTGTGGCTTTTGGAGTGGTGGGGTAGAGAAGGTCATCTACAGGGTGAGGGTCCTCTGCTTCCCAGCTGCAGTTCCGGGCTTGCCTCCTCCTGTGTGGCACCAGATCACGTAACTGAGTCAGCTAGCCTGACCCCAGAGGCAGGAATAGGATGCAGGTCTGACCAGGTCCTCTCTGCTTTTTCCTATCAGCCTGATTTTTGGGGCACTGACTGTCGCAACTGGCATTATTGGTGTCATCCTGGGAGCAGAGGCCTCAAGAAGGTACAAGAAGGTGAACCCCAGGGCTGAGCCCCTCATCTGTGCTTCCAGTCTATTTGCCACAGCTCCCTGCCTCTACCTGGCTCTCATCTTGGCCTCAAGGACCCTCCTGGCCTCCTACGTAAGTGAGGACCCCTCTGGGAGTGGGTGGGAAGCCCTTGAGGACACAGGTGCACAGTAAGCTGTGTCTTTGTGTTCATGGCACTGCTCATACCTTCCAGACTGGTCTGTAGCTTCAGTTTCCATTGAGTTCATAGAGGCTCATTGAGAGCTGTCCAGCAAAGAGGCAGGACTAGATCTGACAGCAAGCCTGTTTTGGCTCTGGACTACTGGTTGGCAGTCTGCGGAGAGTAGGAGTGTTTATCTGTCCCAGGGTGTGCTATGAACCTGGGGAGGCAGAGGGAATGCCCCTCAAGTTCCAGATGAGAAAGGTCAGTCATGACTGGTGGAGACCTTGCTTGAAAGACAGTTATGGTCAGGACAAGTTTTCCAGATCCTGGTCCCATTCTAGTCCCTCCTGTGTCCACATGCTGTCTGTGGCAGGGGTGCTACCTATTGCTTGGCTGTTCACGAAGAGCAATGTTCTTCTCATGTCTGAAATACTTCTCTTCCTGCAGTCATTTTTACCTCCTCTAAAGTGTCCCCAGATTATCAAGCATTCTGTCACAATTCACTGTTCCCACCCTCCTGCCCCATTCCTGTCCCGCCAAGTGGGAAAGGCTTGCTGTTTCTGGGAGGATAGTGCCAGCTTCACCCGTTGTCCACAGGCATCAGGTTCACTGAGCTGGCTGAATTCAGTAAACTGGTGTGGTTTTACTGTTCCCCTCTAGTACTGGAGACTGTTCTATTATGTCCAGTCACATTCAAGGACTGAAGAGTCTGGTTCCACTTACATCATATCTTCCATCTGCCTCTGAATAAGGCTGTTATCCAGGCACAGAAAATTGCCCTGGGATGAGGGAACCCATGGTATATCAAGCTCCTTGTCACATTTTCTGTCCTTTGTCATGGATACCACCCCTCTTCACAATTCTGACTTGCAGGTCTGAGCAGGTGAAAGATGGCAAAAAATGGACAAGGGCTATCTGGGAATGAGTTGTTTCTGTCATTGCCCTCTAAGTGACAATTGCCCAGGTGCTGGGTTGGTGAGTACAGAGGAGGCCGTTGAGGTAGCCTTAGTCTAGGAGGATCTGAGCTTAGCAGGTATCCTGCCTGTTTCTTTTCTGTCCTCATTTTAAAATGTATCTCTTTCTTTTTACTTGCTTTTATCTTTTTATTTTGCACCTGAATATCCTGGAACTCTCTCTGTAGACCAAACTGGCCTCCAACTCATAGAGATCCTCCTGCCTCTGCCTCCTGAGTGCTTTGATTAAAGATACACACACCACCACTGCCTGCCAAGAAAAAGGTTTCTTTTGAGAAATACCGTGGGGGCTGGTGAGATGGCTTAGTGGGTAAGGGTGCTTGTTGCCAAGTGACCTGAGTTTGATCTTTGTAATACCATGATAGATGGAGAGAACTGTTCTGTCTCACTTTCTCATACACACACACACACACACATTTAAAAAGAAGAGGAAGGGGCTGCAGAGAAGGTTCAGAGAACCTGGGTTCAATTCACAGCACCCATATGGTGGCTGAAATAAATACATAATTTTTTTAAAGAATAAAGGAAAAAAGTTAAATGCTCCTGGGCTGATGTGGAAACTGCTTCTGGCGCACTGGCTGGCAGTAAGCGGGAGATGCTTCTTTTTCTGTTGCCAAGGCCTTAGGGTGCACCTGGCCCTCTTCAGGGGGTGTCTTAGGGTTGCTGTGACTATGATGAAGCACCATGGCCAAAAGCATGCTGGGAGAAAAGGTTTATGTCCCTTAACACTTCCACAGCAGAGTCCACCATGGAAGGAAGTCAGGGCAGGAACTTAGAGGAGAACCTGGAGGCAGGAGCTGATGCAGAGGTCATAGAGGGCTGCTTCTTCCTGGCTCGCTTGTTATGGCTTGCTCAGCCTGTTTTCTTTTTTTTCCTTTTTTGGTTTTTCAAGGCAGGGTTTCTTTGTATAACCCTGGCCACCCTGGAACTTGCTCTGTAGACCATGCAGGCCTTGAAATCAAAGATTCTTCTGCTTCTGCCTCCCCAGTGTTGGGATAAAAGCGTGTGCTACCTCCGCCCAGCTGAGCTTGCTTTCTTATAGAATCCAGGATCATGAGTCTAGGAATGGCACCACTCACAATAGGCTGGGCACTTCCTACCAATCACTAATCAAGAAAATGCTGATGGGGTAGTGGTGGCACACGCCTTTAATCCTAGCACTTGAGAGGCAGAGACGGGTGGATATCTGTGAGTTTCAAGGTCAGCCTGGTCTACAGAGTGAGCTCCAGAACAGCCAGAGATAGACAAAGAAACCCTGTATTGAAAAACAAAACAAGACAAAAACCCAAACAAACAAGAGAGAGAGAGAGAGAGAGAGAGAGAGAGAGAGAGAGAGAGAGAGAGAGAGAGAGAGAGAGAATGCCCTACAGACTTTCCTACAGCTTCATCTTATGGAGATACTTTCTCAACTGAGGTTCCCTCCTCTCAGATGACTCTAGATGACATCAAGTTGACATAAAACTAGCCAGCACAAGGGGATTTCCTCTGAACTTCCTGGAGACTGGAAGAGGCCTGCCATCATCCCTCACACAGATTCACTGGACACTGAATAGTCCACTTGACACTGCTGTGGGAAGGTGTTTTTCTCATCTTACCTCACAGACTGGAAAACTGAGGCCAAGGGAAAGCAGCAAAGAGCAAGACAGACAAATGTTTGCCTCAGGCCTGGATAGGTCATGTCTGTGTCTTTGCCATTCCGTGGGAGAGAAGCAACTGGACACCAATAGATGCTCTCATGCTTACTGTCTGGGTGGAGTCGGGTGGTGGGGCCTGTCCCTTCTACTGGTGGGACTGGTAGGGACTAAGCTTGCAGGGGGACTGAAGCCCAGCTGATGGGGGTCCTGTTGGAAGCCCGGGCAGCCAGCTTTGCTCCTGCAGGCTGCTTCTTGGCTGTGTTTTGGGGACACAGCTGTCTCCTACCCTGCAGTCTGGCAGGCTGCAGGGCTGCATGTCTCATTTAGGAGTGCTACTGCATCTCAGCTGATGAAGCCACCTGGGAGAACTCTAACTCTTTTCCAGGCCTGCCCTGGCTAGAAGTGGAGGGGCAGGAAGGTGCTCAAAGCAAAGAGGCATCCATCTTCCTTTCTCCAGGACTGTCCTCCACCATAGCCACTTCCTGCTCTCCTCATCTTCCTGCATACTTACTGTATCTGTTCATCCTACATGGCCAGCGGAGCTTCCGGACACCACGGATCTCACCAGCTCTAGAGCCTTGCATGGCTCCCTGGTTCTCCGGAAGAAGGTTCATCCCTTCATCCTGGCATTAAAGCTCCACAAGAGCTGCCTTGACAGCCTCACGGGCCCTTCCCCCTGCACTCCTATGTGTCAGGACCCTGCACGACTCCTAGAGCACACACAATGGCCTCCCTTCCAGTCCACTCATCATCCCTCCTTGTCCATACCTCTAAACCACTCAGGGCCACCAGGGCAGGGTCACATTAACACTCTCTTCCTGGGGCCTTCTCTTATTGGTGGCCTGGTTGTCTGCTCCCAGTCTTATTGCTTGCTCCTCAGTACTCTCATCCTTGAGTCAAGTGGATTTTTGTTGTTGTTGTTGTTTTTAATATTTTCTTTGTCCCCCCTCCCCCCCCTCCCCGAGACAGGGTTTCTCTGTGTAACAGCTCTAGCTGTCCTGGAACTAGCTCTGTAGACCAGACTGTTCTTGAACTCATAGAGATCCGCCTGTCTCTGCTTCCCAGTGCTAGGATTAAAGGTGTGTGCCATCACCACCTGGTTGGGTCAAGTTATTTGATTCTGATATCATTCTCTCTCTCTCTCTCTCTCTCTCTCTCTCTCTCTCTCTCTCTCTCTGTCTCTCTGTCTCCCTCCACCCCCCCTCTCTCTCTCTCTCTGTGTGTGTGTGTGTGTGTGTGTGTGTGTGTGTATTTTGCTTTTTTGAGACAGGGTTTCCCTGGCTGTCCTGGAACTGGCTTTGTAGACCAGACTTCCTTGTACTTAGAGATCTGCGGGCTTCTGCCTCAGGAATACTAGGATTAAACACATGTGCCACCACACCCAGTTTGATTCTGACCTTTCACAGCCCCAGCTAGTGAATTCTAGCAGGGCCCAGACCTGGTTCCTACCCTTCTCAGCACTCCAGCCCCAAGTGCAGCATCAGGACTGTGGGAGTAGGGTGGGAATTGACCACTGCTTGCTGAGAGCAGTTGAAGGACAACTGTTTGTATGCATTTACTTATTCAGTCCTATTAAGTGTTGGCCATTGGCTTCCTAGTTCAGATGCTACTTACGTTCTAGCTGGGAGAAACAGACTGCAAGAAAGATACACGAGGAGAAGCAGGGCTTAGTGGGGCAGCTCTGGAATCAGCACCCTGAGACAGGGGGAGTTTTAGGCCTGCTGGGCTGTAGACCAAGACCCCCATCTCAAAGAAGGCAGTTAAACAAACATACATAAGTAAACATGTTATGCTGTTTCAAGTGATTATAAATACATAGAAATACTATAGAGTGGAGAAGGGAAATAGTAAGTGCCTGTTGAAAAGACTCTAATTTTATATAGAAAGGCCACAGGCTCACTGAGAAGGTGCTGTGGCTTCTCTCCTTCTTGTAGTTGCTGAAATGAAGGAGTGAATTGTGTAGAATTTGGGAGAACAGAGTTCTAGGAATAGGGAATAATAACTGTAAAGGGCCTGAATTAGGCGTGTAACTGGAGGGTCTGAGGAATGGCAAGGAGAACAATCTTTTCCTGTTTGACGGATGTGACATGGTAGCATTCTGCTGACGATTTCTGAGTTGGGCGATGATGGTGCACGCTTTAATTGCAGCACTCAGGAGGCAGAGGCAGGTGGATCTCTGTGAGTTCGAGGCCAGCCTGATCTACAGATCAAGTTCCAGGACAGCCTCCAAATCTACAGAGAAACCCTGTCTCAAAAAATACAAACAAAAAAAAGATTTCTGTATCTGTATGGATAGGGGTGTTGAGGGTATTAGGGATATGTGTATTTCCATCAGTATTTTTG